AATAGAATGCAAATGAAATGAAGCCTACCTTACGAGTTTTCAGACTTGAAAAACTGTGCCTAAATCTCCCAGGGTGGCTTGGACATGAAAAATTTGGAACTCATACGCCATACTTGTTTATGCCAATGAATGAATGCGACACAACGAGGTGCGATAATATGCGGTCAACTATGGGATTGCATAAACTCTTCCCAATTCAACCTGCATCAGGATCGACATCCTACCAACGAAATCCGGCTATGTGATGAAGTGAAAAGCTGATGGCTAGCGTCGACCCCAAGGGCAGTTAATATGCTGCAAATGAAGGATAGAACAGATCAGTGGGAACAACGCTGGAACTCTCAAACAAGAGAAGTCGCTCTAGAGATCATCACTCCTAGAAAAAAAAGAATAGGAAGTGAAGGCAAACGAAGGCGAGAAGTGAAACAAGTCACTACAACGAAGAAACGATGGATATTATGTAATGAGTTGCCAGACAGCAGAACTCTGGCAACAGAAAGCAAAAGCCGCAGAAGTACTCCTACTACATATAACGCGCTAAGTCTGTCTGTCTGTCTGTCTGTCTGTCTGTCTGTCTGTCTGTCTGTCTGTCTGTCTGTCACGAAATTCCGTACTTAAGCGAACAACAACCTAGGGTCCGGGTCAAGTTGGGATGGGTGTACCATATCTCGAGAAGTAAAAAACACACATCAGCTAAGCGGAGCCCGCCCACAGTGGGCGTGGCGTGCATCGAAATGAGCGATACTGAGGACCATGATTTCAAATTCGCCCACTATCGGTGGGCGGGGCGTTCTCTAAAAAAGCGGTGCTCAATGAAAATATTCATAACTCGGTTAGGAGAAAGCCTACAGAGCAGAAAAGAAATTAGTGCAGGGGAGCAATGTCTAAGGTATTTCCAGCACGCATGATGTGAACGGAGGCCCGCCCACAATGGGCGGAGCGTGTCGTGAAGCGGACAGCGTTTTCTACAAGAGCTCATAAATCGGCTCCGAGATGACTTAGAGACCGGAAAACAGTGGATAGAGGTCAGGAGGGGAGGGGAAGCTAAATGTCAGGGCTGGGCGTGGCTTACATCAAAGTGGGCGGAGTTTGCAACCAGGCTTATAACTCGGTTCCTAGGAGTCCCGGAGTGGGAAAAAAGCGGATAAGGGTTGGCAGAGGGAAGGGGGTCAACTGCTTTTGGCGGGCGGGGCATGTTTTTACGTTTCGGCGAAGTCGCCTTCTTCAGAGCCTGAAAGGATCGAAGCAATTTATGACTACCCGACCAAACGCCTCCGCTATCCTACTGAAATTCGAGAACAAAACAGGTCATCACGCAATACCAAGGTGGGCCACTTACCGTAACTTAGTCCGGTACTCGAGACCACCCGGAACCAGTAGTGGGACACACAGCGAATCCGCCGAAACGTAAGCCAATAAAGTCTACTTAACAACCTCGTGGAGCGCTTACAGAAGATATCAGCCATCAATATATCATGCCGAGGTTCTTGCAAAGCCGTACATTTCGAGTCTTGGCTTTATCCAACACACAGTGATTTGTGAATTCAAGCCGATTGGCAAGATAAACATTTGCCTAATGCAGCACGGCTGCAGTCGGGAAAATACGGCGGATAAGTGGGATCTCCATATTCTTTTGGTCGAATCCTTGAATAATGTGAGCTACTTGGGGCCTGACGCTGTCATAGGTGATGACATTGTTCCTGTAGCTGTATACTATACTATCCAATTTTCAATGTGAGCGTTAAAAAACAACATAGACACGAAGATTTTCCCCGGCCGGGGCGTCTAATCCATAAGAGGCACATCTCAAGAATCCATCGCCATGAATATTCATAATATTCGTGAACACATGTATTTTCATGATCTATTTCGGGCAGCTTCCTCATTAGCGTTTTTCCAGAACCGACGTCTGTGACTTTCGGCTCAGTGTAAAACTCGAGTATAGATCATCCGTTCCTAGATTATTGCTTTAATTTCCAT